TCTGAATGAAGTAAGTCATTTATATTAATATTGAACTATGACAGATTATTAATTCAAGTGCATTTGAAATATTTTAAAAAGGTGTTTTTAGTTTTCTGTTTTGTATTTATAAGACAAACTGTGCAACTTAGAAACAAATTTGAAGGCTGGGTGATTAGTTTATGTCTTAACATTTGAGAATTTGCATGGATATGAAGAGCAGGCAATTTCCCTCTCTCATTTTCACTGAACTTGAGTTGATGCCTTCACATTCACCATGGCAACCTCAATGATCAACACGTACATGGCCTCTGAAGTGTGCTGCCAGAACTTTCCAACCTTAATAATGAATAGGTATGGACTCCATTACATGAGACTCTCTCAACAAGTCGCTGCAGAGCTGATGCAATTCTAGAATGGCATTTCTTTCTCACAGCACACCACCAAGAGGGTCTAATCCAAACTGCGACCTTTTGGGAGCACTTGTGTTTTTCCCCTGCTAAACCCTTCTTACTCTGACTTTGATCAATAATAGCTTGCTTTGCAGCCTCTCAGTTTAAACAAAGAAAGTCGCACTGGAAGGCAAATATTGCTGGAGCAGAAACTTTGGTTTAATGCATCTTTTCCTTTAGTGGGAATGCAATCCTCAGCTGCTCTAATATTTAACCAAAGCAGGTCCCCATTTGCTTCTCTGTTTAATCGTTCTTTTATCTAGGCCAGCTCCTGCTCCTGCTGCTGCTATAGCCATTCCTAATTGGAAGGAAGTTGCCTTGGTATCCTAATGGTTTAAACCTGCAGGATTGTTACCTAGAACCTCTACCCCAAAAGGCATCTGAAATGCCTTTTTTATTAATAATAGTGCAGTATTTTATCATAAGAGGTAAGCTCTTAGAGCATAGTTTTATTTCAGCCTTGTGCCACTAGGCATTTTATCAGATTGCTTTTACATGAACTGAGACTTGGTCATTGATTTCATTACCAAAAAATGACTTTGATTCTACTTCATATGACTTAAAGCCTTTCCCGTAAATTAGCCCTCTTTTTTTAATTTACCAAGAAAATTTTATTCTCATGGTTGGTTATTATTCCTTCCACTTAACTATTTGGGTGAGTTTAGTGATATACTAATGATTATTAAAGTAAACTGGAAAATATCATGTGGTCTGTTAGAGCTCTTGAAAAGACTTGAAATCAAAATCTCTTTCCAAGTATTTAAACTTTTTTCTTCCTAATATTGCTATAGATCTGAGTGGTGAACTTAACATTTGTTTAACTTCAAAATTTTATCAGTTCAACTGTCTTTTAGTTTTAATGTTTGACAAAAATAGCATGTTAGCCATGATGACAAGGCGCCTTCAAAAGCTATTCTGGTTATTACTTTTCTGTGGCTTCTTTTGAGACCAACCGTCTTACTGGACATTGATTTGTTTAGTCTTAACAAATAGAACTTCAGATAAGAGAGCAAATTGTGTAATATTGTATGCTTTGAGAGCCACTTGTATTGGAAAAACAAATATAATAGGACTGAATTTTTTGTTTAAACAAATGAATTGTATTAAGTGAATCTAAAGCCTCGGTGGAAAACAATTCTTTTACACAAATATGCACATTGAACCCTGTGCTGGCATTGAAGATGGAGTTCTGCAAAGCCTCCAAGCACCTCAGTAACACCCCTTCTCTGAATTACATTAAACCAGTCGGGACTTGATGAAAGAATGCAAGGTATAAACCCCTTGAGGGCCTGTGAGTCACCATCTAGAAAGGCTCTTGAAAGGGTAAGAACATTTTATAGTTTGATCAATAGCAGTCTGAGAATAGGCTGCGGGGTAAAGACAAGTTGAGGATTAAAAACTTTGGGAAACTTGAAGAATTGAATTACTCTCCTAAGGAAGTTCCCAGGAGAAAAAAGAGAGGACAGAAAGAAAGACTTTTTCATCAGATCTCAAGCAGCAACCTTTCTGTTTGGTCAGAATTCAGCTAAAATAGATTTGATGGTCATCAGCCCTTATTATCTTGATCTTGATGCAGAACTGTGACACACAAAGTGTTTTTTAGGGACCCAAGTACCTGCCATAGTAGTTTTGGGTACATATCAAGAGGAGATTGAAGATGGTGTTGGAGACTTCAAAATTAAAGCAACCTTTCCATAGAATATTTCATTGAAAGAGGCCCTTATTCTATTTTTCTAGCCAGAATGAGCCTTTACTTGAAAATGTATAAAGCAATTTTGGCAGTTGGGTCTTCCTCTCTCATCACTGTTATTTTAGTATTAAGTTAAGCTGTTGCATTAGTATGGTTATCAGAATTTAGATTTTGTTTATAAAGGAGGCAAATAGTTCAATGCTGTGGCCACTAGGGTAAGTACAAAAGTAATAAGATAAGAATTGCTGAACTTAAAACAGGTTCTAAGAGTTATTTCAAGACCTTTGGGTTTTGCACTATTCTTAGAAAATTTACAGAAACCTACTATGACACAGAAGTAAATAAAAGCTGAGACTTTTAAGAGCCACTCTGCTAGACCCAGTGTGAGAAGATCAAAGTGTGAACTTCTCCATACCAACTCTATGGAGGACGTGGGCCTCTTTCCTGGGTGACAGGGTATAGAGGGTAGATATGGTAGCCATGAGGACAGGAAGTGGTGGCAAGGAAAAGGTAAGCCCTAAATAAGAACTCAGGTCCTTAGAGTTGGAGTTACATCCAGCACAAAGCCTCTTTTCCATTTTTCCTACTTGGATTACAATGAAGAGGCTTTGTGTAGAGGAGTTCTTAGTACATTTAATCAGAATTACAAGGAAAGCTGATGAGACATCCAAAGAGAGAAAGCAGGAGCCAACAGGAAGTGCGTAAATGAAAGAGAGAGATTGGGTAAGGTGGTCAGCCCAGTCTGGATTGCTTCTGGCTTTGTACCAGTCACCTGTGTGCCTTGCTGGGACCTCTCACTCTCTTGAGTCCTGTAATAGGTGCTTACTCATGCAGGGAGCTGGCCACATTGAACTTACACACTACATAACAAAATATGAAGAGCCTGTCAGTGAGAGTCTTCTATTCCTAGATCTTAGTTTCTGGGTAAAGAGGTACAAGTGTCTGCATAGTTAGATGACCACCTTAGATGCCATCTTTTCCCCTTTCTGAGGAGCAACCAGATGACCCTCGTGGACCATAGTGTCTCACTTACTGTCACATCGGCGATCATAGGTTTTATACAAAAATATAATACATTTAAAACATGCTGTAAAAGACCTACTCACAAGGACATAAAAATACTTATATGCAAAGAGTCAGAAAAAAAAATGGTAATTTTGAATTGAAATTAAGTTGCATATTCATTTATGAACACTGAACCCAAAAGATCTGAGGTTTTTCCGTTTTGGAGGACATCTGGAAATAGCCAGCCTTTCTCAGTCTCCTTAGATGGAAAACTTAAACTCCTCTCCCATTTGGTGCTTCTTGCAGTTTATGATTCTCAGTTCAGGCTCTTTCTCTAACGCACCAGTAGGAGAAAAAAAAAAGTAGTTTAGGGCTATTCTGGAATATAAGTCTTTCTGGTCAAACCAGCAAAACAGGTGTCACACCTGCTGTTAGGAACCTAAGTTCACCTAACCTGGGTTCTTAGTCTTGACACAGCATCCAGCCAAATGGTACCTATAGAGACCCTTTCCACAAACCTCTTAGGCAGTCTATCTTCTGAAACATTGCTTATTTCTAAATGAGGAAAATAAGTGAAATAGCTTTCTGTCCAGGAATACTCCTTTGTAAAGGCCAACTTTAAACCTGGCAAAGATGCCTTCATAGAAGGCAGTCATTTGTGAAAGCTGGTGGCATGGGGCTTGAAATTGACAGGGGAGTGCACACTTAACTTTTCTATGGAAAGGTGACTTTGGTCATGAGTCTTCCATTTGCATTAATCAGAAGTACTCTTTTATAAAACAAAACAAAACAACCTTCTGTTCCATGCCCCAGGCAGCTTCCTGTGTAAAGCAATCTGTGGCAGCTAGTCAGGTGTTCAGGTTGGAATTTTCCCCTTGAACTCGGGTTGTGGGACTTCTTGTATGGTCTTACTGAAACAGCTTACAAAGCTCTCATTTAGGCCTGTCCTTTCTTTTCTGGTGTTTCCCTCAGTTTCTTCTTTTTCTCAGATCCCTCTTCAGAAGATCATTTTGGATGGGAGCAGTCAGGCATAGACTCAAAATGACAAGGTGTTTGCCATCACAGCCTGGAAAAGCAATAACATGTGTAGGTGCTCTTGGGTATGGAGAAAGGAAGCATAAGTATCCAGCAGGTGTCCACGTGCAGTGTGTTGCCTTTACTTTCAGAACAACCCTTCACCCTTCTGCCACTGTACTCATCACCTGCAGATCTCCGGGTCCTTTACAACTGTTAGTCATTTTCAAGAACTCAAATGTAATGAGTAGATTGTTGTTTCTGCTTACAGACGAGGAAACTAAAGATGAAAGGGAAAAATTAGCATTGAGGTCGAATCCTGTCAGTTTTGTATTTCCATCTTTAAATTAAACTGTCTTTCCCCCAAAAAATTAAAAAAATAAGAGTTACAGCCACTTAATGAAAAAAAATTCATATGCAATACTGTACAGTGTTAAATTCACAGTTGTTATACTCCATGAAATACCTTTGTGTAACTTAGTGCGTTTAGACTTAAAACTAGGTGTGTTGAAAGGTTCCCACCTAGCTTTTTCTCATGCATGTAAATTTAGTGCAAGCCTCTGTTTCAAGGAGCTTTATGTGGTTGGATTGACATTGCTTAATCAACAATTGAAAAAGTTAAGCATAACCTAGAAGTCATTTAGAACTGTGAGTCACTTTCCTGACAAGCCAATAAGGCAAGAGAACCTGGGTTGCAAAACAATTACTAGCCCAGCCTGAGGGACCCTGGAAATATATTACAAGTATTAGTTAGGGAAACAAAGCAGCAGTGTTTTACCAAGCTGCAGAGAACAAGCTAAGGTTGCTAACTAAACAAAATAACTTTACACTGACAATGCCAATTTTTACATTTGTTTCAGAACAAGGGACGCTCAAACCACCGGAGGTAAGATTAACATTTAAAATTTTTTTATATAACTTTTGCATTTCAGGTTGTTTGTTAACTTAAGCAGGCTTGAGCTTTTAGAATGCTAAATGTGTGTCTTAAAATGGATAGAAACAGAGCTAGAGAAATCAAGTGCTTATGAATTAAATGCACAGGTTAGATCAGAGGAATTTTCAGTCACTGTCTGGAGATCTTAGGTAGAGGGAAAATGTGAATATTTAAGAATGTGTGTGATATGGAAACATCATACTTAGGTACTTATTCAGGTAAATTTCAAATACTCTAACAACATGTGGCCCTAATATCGGGATACTTTTCCCTAGTTTCCTGCAGAATTCCACAAAACCCTGAGGTTTGTAAAAGTTAATGCAACTATATTCATTTCTTTGGAATAAATATCTTTGATCCTACTAGTACAGAAGGAAGGTAGCCCTCCCCCCAGGGAGTTGGTAGATGTGTCCCTGTCATGAAACATTGCATGGCTGCCCAACATTTGCTAGTCCTGAAAAGTTCTAACAGTGTTCATCTCAGAATGTGGTTTCATGTTTCTAGTAGTTGTCTATTTGAGCACAAACATGATTTGTATCGTGTCTTATTGATCAAAAGCAAGATCTGATAGCATTTTTTTTCAGCTTAACACAGTTTAAGGTCTAATGGCTTAGAACTGTGTGATCCCTGTCACCTCTCAGAATAAAGGTATTTAAAAAAAATATGAAAGAATGAGAAATATGACAGATTCCAGACAACCGTTGCCTTGGCCTTTAACCAAAAGTAGCAGATTTCTCATCTGACCTCCCAAAAATAGTATCATGGAGAAAATTAAAATATAAAATGTATGTGATTGGTTATGTGAATCAAAAGTACAGTAATTTGAGAATTTCAGAGTAAAAGAATGACAAAAAAAACATTCTATACAAATTTTTTTTAATGTAATAATTATGTATCATTAAGGGTGGTATAATATTTTTTAATAGGCTGGCATTTATATTTTGAAAATAATGAAAAGCACAGTAAGATTAAATAAGCAATTATTTCTGCTTCTCTTTTGCATAAGTGCATAATTTGCACATATAGGGTATCAAGAATGTGCTATGGGGATGCTCATATGCACTTCTTCAGTGTTTCAGTTAAGAATTTTAGTCTAGAATTTAGATCAAGGAATATCATAAAAATAGTTTATGTAGGCTTTTCTAGGGCTAAAATTAATTAATGTGAAATTTCTTTTACTGTTTAGTTGTCAGGTCAGATTTTTCATCAGGACTATAAGGGTGCTGCCAATGAAGATTTTGGAAAGTGGCCTGCTTTCTCTTATTCTCACACTTCCTTAGATTATTGAGACAGAACTCTGAACTTGAACGAAGTATTACTTTACATTTACCCTATTAGCTATATTTATTATTATTTTTTCCAAAGAAGATGATCTCACTTGATTTTATTTAAGTAATGTGAAGTGGGTGTATTTACAGAAAGTGTGCTAATAAGAAGTAGTTAATAATTTTCATATGATACTAAATAATTCTCTCCAAGCATTTTATCCTTTTAAAAAATGACACGGAAGCCTATTATGAAATGAATTAATTTTCACGTTGACTTTTTTTTAATGCAGCATCAGTGGTTTTGTGACTTGCTTAAGTATTGAATACAATAAGTGCAATTTTTATTTAATGTGTGATTCTGCTCATCTTTATTTTGGGTGCATAATTATAGTAAGCTCTTATATTACCCAATCTATTTGGAAACCTTAACTTGGTTTAAGGAGAAATGTCGCAAAAAAACGTTAAGAAGCATCTTGCACTTTATGCTTTTCCACCAAGACTGTGTGGAGGGTGGTTTAATTCTCTGAGGCAGAGGCTTGTATGATGTTCAGGAGTCTTCCTAGTAGTAAATAATAAAACCTTTTGTAAGCTCTGTCATCTGTAGTTTCCCCACCCTTGAAGTTCTTTCTCTCCATATACCAGTTTGTAGTCCTATTCTGTTCCCCTTTCAGTAGCTATGATTGTGACTTTGTAATTTTTAATTTTACACTTTATTCTTAAGATAGGTCAGTTTTTAATAGCTACAGGATCTGTAGGCCTTCATGAGCCCCCTTCATGTTCATCCCATGTTCTATTCTGGAGTGGGCCTTCAGAAGCTGCCTTCAGCTGTGGGAAGTAAGATTATTATTACCTATCTATTTAACACATATGCACTCTAAATCCATTCCTTAATTTGGTTTTGTTTTTTTTTTTACCTTTAAAACTGAGGTACCAAAGCCAGTTACATAGCAAATGAACCTTTTGCTTATTTTGTTGGTAAAATCAACAGAGAATTAAGTTTATCCCAAGAGGCAAGAAGAGATTCTTGGATGATAAAAGTATTTCTTTTAGAGAAAGACAAGGTAATGGGTAATGAAGCAAGAAATAACTCAAATGCTTCTAAAATTAGGTTGGTTGGTTGTCCCCTCCCCTGCCCCTTCTAGTTTGATCAAAGAAGATTGAGAAAGTTCTAAAGACCATTTCTCCTGATCTCATGGGGCTGCATTTGACAGCTCCCAGGGATTGCCTCTAGGTGTGCACTCCTGTTTTCTCTCCTCTCCCTGCTAGGGACAGAAGCTCTGTCCAAGCTTTTGAGAATATAGGTGGGGGAGGGGAGTAGGTGGGATGGAATATGACAGAATGACAATTGAAATTAGCATTTTAAAATTGTTTATGGTCTGCTAAATATTTGCAAATTTTTTTACAATGTAAAATAGTTTTTAGATGCTTTGTTTAAATTTTTTTTTAATGTTTGTTTATTTTGGAGAGAGAGACAGAGCATGAGCTGGGAAGGGGCAGAGAGAGAGGAGGACACAGAATCCAAAGCAGGCTCCAGGCTCTGAGCTGTCAACACAGAGCCCGACATGGGGCTCAAACCCACGAACCCTGAGATCACAACCGAGCTGAAGTCTGATGCTTAACTAGCTGAGCCACCCAAGGGCCCCTGGGTACTTTTAAAGTAAAATAAATCTCCAAAGGCATTTGGTATAAGTAGCTGAAAAAAAATTTGTTTTTCAATACAACAAATCATAATTACACTCATTCTTCCTGTAGAAAAATTTGTTTTCGGGGTCACTGATTTATCAGGAGGAAAAACCTAAAACATAAGCAGTAGGGCAATAACTTTAGAAAAACAGTTTGTAATTTGTGTGCATGTAAACAGTCAAAATACCATGAAGTTAATAGTAATGATGATGATGATATTATTATTGTTATTATCATTATTAACAACAACAGTAAAGTTGTCACTTAACTGTGTGGCCGGAAGTGTTCCAGGCATTTCACAGGACTCATTTAATTCTCACTACAAATGCTGTGAAGTAGGTGCTATTATTATCCCCATTTTATACGTGAGAATACTGAGGCACAGAGATGCTCACAGTCAACAGCAGGTGCCAAGTGACAAGGTCTGAATTGGAACTCAGGCAGTCTGATTCTGGAATCCATATTCTTTTTTTTTTTTAATTTTTTAAAATATTTATTTATTTTTGAGAGAGACAGAGTGCGAGCAGAGGAGGGGCAGAGAGAGGGAGACACCAAATCTGAAGCAGGCTCCAGGCCTGAGCTGTCAGCAGAGAGCCCGACACGGGGCTTGAACTCATGGACTGCGAGATCATGACCTGAGGTGAAGTTGGCCACTTAACCGACTAAGTCACCCAGGTGCCCCTAGAATCCATATTCTTAATAATTATACCATGTTCAATCTCTCTCACTCTCTCTCTTTTGGATAGAGTGTGCACACGAGCAGGGGAAGAGGCAGAAAGAGAGGGAGACAGAGAATCCCAAGCAGGCTCCACACTGTCAGCGCATGACCTGAGCTGAAGTTAAGAGTTAGATGCTTAACTGACTGAGCCTCCCAGGCTCTCTTCTCTATTGTTTTTTTCATACAGTGTTATATCAGTTTCAGGTGCACAGTGCAACGATTCATAGTCCTGTTCATTACTCAGTGTTCACCACATAAATGTACTCTTCATCCCCTTTATTTCAGCCACCTCCACCACCACTCTGGGAATCACCAGTTTGTTCTCTGTACTTAACAATCTGTATGTTCATTTTCTCTTTTTTTCTTTGTTCGTTTTTGTTTCTAAATTGCCCATGTGAATGAAATCATATGGTATTTATCTTTCTCTGACTTATGTCATTTAGTATTATACCATCTAGGTCCATCTGTGTTGTTGCAAATTATTCTCTATTTCAGTCCTCACTTCAGGTAGTGTAGCATTGGTCTTAAACCCAAGTGTTCTTTTCCACATTTTAAGTCTATGATTTTTAAATGGTACTAGTTTGGGGATTCCAGGAATAAGGCCCTAAGGTTTTATTCCTTTCTTGCCTCCAGCATTTTGATTGTATACGGTATAAGAGCACAGAAAGGCAGCTTCTTTACATTAAGAAGGTGAAGGGATATGTAGGAAGTAAGTAGCAACATGATATCCGTCATTATCTATTTTCCTGTTGAAAATATTGTCAGTTGTGGTCATTGTCCTTTATAGAGAGAGCTCTGCAAAATGTTACAACATTTCAGGGAGAACAGATATTTTCATTGAAAGCAGCTTTCTTCTAAATTATCAGCTATGAATCTTGGATTCTCACGCTTCTCCTTTTTGTGCCTTGTCTACCAAGAGCCCAGAGAGACATTTTCTTCTCACTTATAACAGTTCTCTTTATACTAGTTTTTCCAGTACAGTTACCCATCTTGCTCAACACAGGTTCACCGCTGATTTTAATGATCATATTGGGCTTTTTCAAATCCATTTTGAAAGTAGTTTGGTTAAAAACAAAAATTGTAAAAATTTCTTCAGTTTTCTCCCACCTTGAGAATCCTGAAAGTCTGCTCGATGAGCTTTGAGACAAGAAGGCTGTAAGAACCTATTTCACCCATTTAACTTGTGAATGAAAACAGCAAGAGGAACCCTAAGAAAAATCCATGGTTAATATGTGCTTAGCAAAGCCAAGTGTGCTCTGAATAAACCCAAGTCTCCTCCAAACACAGGCAAAAACCCCAACACAGAGAGAAAATTGCTTTTGTAAAAATCTAAATTTTGTGGTCTTACAGACTCAGCATTTCATCCAGTTGTATAATAAAAAGTGATAAGTCCTTATTAATTAGTGAGATTACTTATTAGGTGGGAATGAATTTAATTATTTGTGAAATGGAACATATAACCACACATTTTCAAACATTTAAAATTTGTTTTGCATCTTATTTATAATTTTTGTAATGCACAATTTTTCATATGGCTTTCTTTTCTATGATAAAAATTAACTTTCATGTTTCACAAGCTGCATGCCTGTTTTATTTCTTAAAGTATTGAGATGCAAGTGACCATATTTAAAACACCATTCTCAGTTAAATGTTTGTTAAAGTCAGAGCTTCAGATCTTGGTTTTGAGGTTGTATATCTTCTCTAGTCTCTGGCCTGTCAGGCCTCAGAAATAGCTGAGTTAGAGTTTTAGACATCCCATGTCTTTGCTGGGAGCATTTTCCAACCAAGAATAGCTACTTGGGCTTTGTTCTAATAATTCCTCTGTTCACTATGACTTCCAAAAAAATTTTTTTTGTGCCATAATACCCAGAGATGGCAAATGAAAAGATCTTTCTTTTCTGTGGTGTTATATCAGCAACATCAATTATAGATGTTCAAGTGAAAGACTTATTAGAGAAACAAAAATGTTAAATTACAAACACGGTAGAAGCACGTTTCGCTCAAATTCAGTCATACTTTTAAATGGAAAAAGTGAAACATTTATTGGCCTTCCGAAGTATCACATATTAATACAATTTTACTAATGCAAAATCTTTGTTTTGCTTTGTTTCACTTTTCTGCATAGAAACGGACCAATGGACTACGAAGAAACCCGAGACAGGTGGATCCAGGTGTGTTTTTGATTACTTGTCTGTAATCATAACTTCAGTTAAGTGATTATGAAAGTATATGAGAATTGCTGTAGAAGGTCAGACGGATTGTTGGCCTTTGTTCCTGGCAGTTTGGTATGTGATGAGTGACGAGGAGGCGCCAGTCTACTGTGTAAATCATTTACCTGACAGTGCTTCCTGGGATAGGCTCACGTGATGAGTAACCACCAGTACTGCACTCAAGAACCAGCCATCGAGCTGGGTATTTACTTGCTGAACAGCTTCAGGCTCCCTGGTTAATGCCAGTATATCCAACACCCTCCCCTTCTTCCCAAATGTGGAAAGAAGATCATCCAACAAGCTAGCATTTAAAAATTAGCATTTTCTGGGGCGCCTGGGTGGCGCAGTCGGTTAAGCGTCCGACTTCAGCCAGGTCACGATCTCGCGGTCCGTGAGTTCGAGCCCCGCGTCAGGCTCTGGGCTGATGGCTCAGAGCCTGGAGCCTGTTTACGATTCTGTGTCTTCCTCTCTCTCTGCCCCTCCCCCGTTCATGCTCTGTCTCTCTCTGTCCCAAAAATAAATAAATGTTGAAAAAAAAATTTTTTTTTAATTAGCATTTTCTTTTTTTGTTTTTTTTTGTTTTTTTAATTTTTTTAATGTTTGTTTATTCTTGAGAGTTAGAGACAGCATGAGCCGGGGAGGGGCAGAGAGAGAGGGAGACACAGAATCCAAAGCAGGCTCCAGGCTCTGAACTGTCCTCACAGAGCCTGATGCGGGGCTCGAACCCATGAACTGCGAGATCATGACCTGAGCTGAAGTCAGATGCTCAACCGACTGAACCACCCAGGCACCCCCAAAATTAGCATTTTCTAAGGGGGTGAAGGAAGTTCATAAACTAGACAATTTTGGTACCCTCCTCTTTTGGGAAAATACTTTTCTTCATCCTTCATCTGTACTATTTTATGATAGAAGAATGAATTTAAAGACTTGGTGAACAAGTATCCTCCTTTGAGACCAATTATTTGTCTGCAGAGAGCATACAGTTGTTTTCTATTTAACATCATGAGGTTTGTTTATCATTATTTTAGTATAATTATTTTTCCACCCATTAAACAATGCCTTCCTCAGTTTAATTACCAAAGGTTTGTTGTGTAAATGGTCTTATTATTATGGGTAAAGGGTACTCATGGCCAAAGGATTCCAAATATATGAATTTGATAATAAATCAGGCGGGGCATGAAGCAACCTTGCTGGAAAATAATCTGGATTGTGTTTTGTTTTCTCATCGTAAACAGCATTCACCTAGTTGTAAACCTGAGCTTTCAAAGCATTCTAGCTTTTAACTGAAACCACACCCATGGTAGCCATGCCAATTTATGAGCTGTTGGAAAAGATTTATAGGACCTTTGTTGCCTCTGGCTAGAAATTGCCTCACTTATGTCCTGAGATCAGTTTAAATCTTTTAACTACAGAACAAAATTGAGGCCATTAAAAAAAAATAGGTGTTCTGGTTTATTTTAATAGTTCAAAATTCCCAACACAGTACCCTTTGCAGAGGATTCTGCAGTAATATTTAGAAGTGACTTCTTCAGTTCTATTTAGTATGAGTGCATGGCTGTGAACAGATTTTTTTCTTCTTATTTTGTGTGAGGTGTACTATATTTTTATTTCAGAAAATGATCTAACCTTTACAAGTGTTATTTTAAAAATATTTTCTCTTTCTTCTGTGGACATTTTAATTTAATCCGTTTTCTTCCAGGGAAATGCATTTCTGTAATGTGTCAATAGGAACACATTTGACTATTAACAATTGACTTTATAGCTGGAATTTTTAGGAGCCCTTAGCTTTTCTAAAGAGAGTTATAGTGAATTCACAGGTGGTAAGTATAACAAAGTGGACCAGTAATATAATAGTGTATGCTCAAGTTCATGGCTTTGTATATGTACAGCGGCTCTGGTATTCCTAATTGTCCACAGATTTTAGAACTTCATGAAGAATAAACTTAAAAATACAAAAGATGTGGTCCCGTATGTTTGTAAGGGGAAAGAAACATGTATATATACATGCAGACACACCCACACACACACAGATTGTGTATCATATAGTTTTCCATTAGGTATGGTAATTATATATGAGCATTTTCTCATTTCTCTACATTTTTGAAAACAAAAAACAAAACAAAACAAAAACAAATCGTTGATCTTGCTTGTTGTAGATGCTAACGTGAAAACAAGTGTTTCTCCCTGTAGGTGTCTTTTGATGTCTGGCTGAGTTATGTGTGCATCTTTGTTTCTTTCTGTTGGGAAGTTGCTAGCTTTTAGGTTCAAAGTTAACCCTTCCTTGATCACTGCCCTGCACTGGGTTGGTCTTGAGTATCATTTAGCATATTTTCATAGTTTTTACATTCATTCCAAGACGTTTAAATGAGAAATCTGTAAAATTGAGGCTTTCTCAGCAGGGACAAACTGCTTGCAAGGGGCATTATTTGCTGCTCGTGCTTTTACCATGGAAATTCCTTTCATCTTTTCTAGCTAATTTAGTTGACATATCTGAGTGCGAATACATCTAGTGTTTTCCAGGGCCTCACTTGGGGTGGCTTGTACAAAAGACCGACTAACTGTAAGGCCTCTCGTTTTGGAAAGGAACTTAATGCATAGTTATATGGGTGGTAGGTGCCTAAGAAGTGTTTGTTAAGTGAATTAATGAATTGTTGTATGCTTTTTGTGCGTGCATTGGCTCTCTTGCTTTTTAAATTCCTCCTGTTGACAAAGTGCACAAGTACAGTAACGGAGCATTGAATAATCTAGGGGTAAGAAGCATGGCTCTGAGGCACAGTGACTCGGGACTCAACTTAGGTGCTCACTTGCTGTTGACCTGTGGCAATTTCTTCCCCTCTCTCTGCTGTCCTTTCCTCATTGAAAGGATACTAATAATAGTACCTACCTTACAGAGTTGTGAGCATGAGTAATAAGTGTTACACGAGTTAATAGGCATAAAGCACTTTATAACAGCCCCAAGTATGTAGTAAATAATAAGGGGTGGCAGTTATTATAATAATTACTTTATGGTAGAGCAAGGAGCTTAATATCGGACATTTTGTCATGCATAGAAGAATCAGTGATATTTGCCAGTTATTTCTTTGCACACAGACCCAGATTTTTATGTTGAGTTTCCATTGAGGCTAGATGTTACATAAATATAGTTGTTTTCAGATTTGCCGGTATTCCCTGCTTATCTGATGGCCATGATATTTTGTGTATCTTTAAGAAGAGAAACAATCAGGGGCGCCTGGGTGGCTCAGTTGGTTGAGCGTCAGGCTTCAGCTCAGGTCACGATCTCCTACTCCGTGAATTCGAGCCCCGCATCGGGCTCTGTGCTGACTGCTCGGAGCCTGGAGTCCGCTTCAGATTCTGTGTCTCCCTCTCTCTCTCTCTGCCCCTCCCCCGCTCATGCGCATGCGCGCGCTCTCTCTCTCTCTCTCTCTCTCTCTCTCTCTCTGTCAAAAATAAATAAACATTTAAAAAAAAAGAAACAATCAAGACTGGTGGTTGAGAGTTTTTTGGTGGAGTTAGAATAGTGTTTGTGATTGCATTATAGAAACAAAAGAAAGAAAAACCTCCCAAGTTGAGAACATATTTGTGGGGTTCTGTTCAAACCAAGAAAAATGTAAGCTATGGGTTTGCATCGTGTGTTGTTAGCACATATAAAACATTCACTCTTTATTAATAATTGTGGTTAATCTTTATAGAAAATACTTGCAAATGGCTTTGCAGTTTATTTTTTCTTCTATTGTGTGCTAAGAAAATTATCAATTTATGATCTTGACTGCTTTTATAAATATAGTAATGTGTTAGATGCAAATTGTGGTAGCTCTTTTGGATATCTTAAATATAGCAGATATTTTCATCAGTTTGTACTTTTCTTCCTAAGACAGATGTTGGTTTCAGGAAAATAACACTTGTAAGAGACAGATCAATTATTTCAGGAACACGGAGGTGCTAGGCCTTTTTCGAGAACATGAGATCATAAATCTCAAAATCTGAGCACTGGTGTAATATTTATCACTAAAAGTTGCACTCAAGGTCAAAGTTACTAATTAAATTTTAATACTGAATTTTAAACGTTCCCTTCTAAGTATGAAAGATGAAAGATTTATTTTTGTTTGCATGTGGCAAGTCTGTATTCCAGGACATGTGCTCTTTTTGGTCAAGCCCATGTTTTTGTCTTATTTGCAGCTCATTGCATCTTGTATTTAAGTCCACAGTCACTGGCTTTAAAAAAAAAATCAGGCCAATGTTCTGGGTAGTGCTGCCTGAAGAGTAGATGGAGTAGATGGCAAATATTTAGGTAGCTCACATTGTCTTTCTGATCTTAGGTTACCCATGTGATTGATGATAACCTTGAATAGTAAATGAACAGGTAATGGTTTAAATGATGAAAGAGTTCTTTCTGAGAACTGTGCTTTTCATATGCTTATTGTAACTTTTGATTACAAAGAGAAACATGTGGCTTGGAAAAACTGTCTTTTCTTATTCACTGAGAAGATGTCCTACAGTTTCTTAGCAGAGACCCTTCAAAGATGGTCACTTTCTCTTATCAGGATTGATATGTAATGCCATTTCTATTTCTTGTATGAAGAAAGGACGTCCAGAAATCTTTCTTTCATTACCAGCTTCCTATATCACAATAAGCACCAGCAATATCATTAATTATAAAACATGGCCCTTTTTTGTAAGGAATTTATAGTCTGCCTAAAGAAGGAATAGATACAGGCGCAAAGTCTTAATTGCATAAATGCATATATAAATGTGCATCTGAAAATATTTTAATATTATATACTATTTTATATACTGATTCACTGTGCTATGGCATACTGCCATAAACACAGTGAATAGTCCGATAAACATATAACAAATCCAGTTATGTAGTATGTGCAAAGAAGCAAATGGAATTGGAAGAGAGAAGCTCAGGAGGGCTCATACTGCTTTTAGGCTGGGTTGTCTATATATGCTTTTATTTA